TGAGGCCCTGGGTTCGATTCCTCAGCACCACATAAGCAGAAAAAGCCAGAAGTGGCGCTGTGGCTCAAGTGGTAGAGTGCTAGCCTTGAGCTGAAAAGCTGAGGGACAGCGCCCAGGCCCAGAGCTCAGGCCCCATGACTGGCAAAAAAAAAAAAAAAAAGGAATTAGAAAATACAATAATATTTTCCCTTAAATGTTTTTTTAATAAATTTTAGTTTGGGGATGAAATTCAGGATCTTGCAAGTTCTAGGCAAGCATTCTACCACTAAGCTACATTCCTAACCAGAAAATGTGATAACATTTAAGCCTTAGGGTCTATTAGATATTTGTTGAAGATTATGTATTTCCTTCCTCATACCTCCTTGCCAGTGAGTGAAGGTGATATGTAGGGGTAAAGAAGTCCAGTTGTGGGGCTGGGAAGGTGGCTCAGTGGTAGAGCGCTTGCCTTGCATGCATGAGGCCCTGGATTCGATTCCTCAGCACCACATAAGCAAAAAGAAAAAAGCTGGAAGTGGTGTTATGGCTCACGTGGTAGAGTGCTAGCCTTGAGCCTTGAGCTGAGGGACAGCGCTCAGGCCCAGAGTTCAAGCCCCACAGCCGACCAAAACAAACAAAAAAAAAAGCCAGCCTTGGCAGAAAAGTCCATGACACTTATTTCCAATAAATTACCCCAAAAAAGCTGCAAATGAGCTGTGACTCAAGTAGTAGAGAGCTAGTCTTGAGCAAAAAAAGCTCAGGGACAGAGCCCAGGCCCTGAATCCAAGCCCCAGAATCAGCACAACAAGGTTGGGGGAGGGGCGTGGAACAACTAAAATGTACACATCAATCAAAGTAGTAAACTCTGAAGCAGGGTGCTGGTGGCTCAAGCCTGTAATGCTAGTTATTCAAGAGGCTGAGATCAGAGGATTGTAGTTCAAAGCCAGCCAGGGGCAAATCCCAAGGACTCTTAAAGTGAAGGTGTATAGCTCAAGTGGTAGAGAGCTAGCCTTAAGCTAAAAAGCCAAGTATGAATACTAAGCACTGAGCTCAAGTCCTTGTACCAGCACCAAAAAATAAAAATAAAAAAAATTTAAAATAAAAATGGACAATTCATGAACTGAAAGACAAAGAAAAACAATGAAAGCTATCACTGCTAATCATACTCAAGAGGCTGTGCTCTGAGGATTGAGGTTCAGAGCCAACCCAGGCAGGAAAGTCTATGAAACTCTTACTCAGTTAACCACTAAAAAGATGGAATTAGAACTGTGGCTCAAGTGGTAGAATGCCAGCCTTGAGGGGGGAAAAAGGTCAGAGAGACTGCCCAGGCCCTGAGTTCAAGCTTCAGTATTGGCACCAAAAATAAATAACTAAAGTGAAAAACACCTGCCCACCACCCAAAAATATTAGTAATATTCAGAATACTGTTCAAACTAAAATACTGAAAAGTAGAATATGCTTTTTAAATATCTGTTACATTCTAAAGACTGTGCTTCAAACAGCACTGGGCAAATAAAAGTTGCATTATGAACTTAAATGACAGTAATTTAAAGTTCCTTACCTGATTTATTAGAAAGGTACAGATAGTTCGTGCAGCTGTAGAGATCACTCATTGGCTCTGGTAGAAATCAGATGGGACTCAAGTCTGGTAAATTTTCTCATCTGTGAAGGGAAGATTATAACTGTATGCACCTCATTTACTTGCTTAGGAGCATTAAATTAGGTATTTCATGAATTGAGCTTAGCATGGTACCCAGCATGTAATAATCACTCTGTTCACTACTATTAGAAAAAGTAAGTTGCAGCTTATTAGTATTATCATTTTAATCTAAACTCTACAGGGCTAAAAACATACTCTGCTAGTGGTTGTCTGAATGGTACAATGTAATCTCCATTAATTGAGGGGCTCCACCTTCTTAGGCCTAGCTACAGAACTCCCAAAGAATTCTTTCCTCCAATCTACATTAAAAATGTTTTCTATACTCTACAGAAGTTATATACTGAAGTTCTTTCTTTGTTTCTTTTCTTTTTTTTTTTTTTTTGTCAGTCGTGGGGCTTGAACTCTGGGCCTGAGCACTGTATTTCATCTCTTCACCTCAAGGCTAGTGCTCTATCACTTGAGCTACAGCGCCACTTTCGGTTTTCTGGTGGTTTATTGGAGAGAAGAGTTCCACGGACTTTCCTGCCTGGTATGGCTTTGAACCTCCATCCTCAGATCTCAACCTCCTGAGTAGCTAGGATTACAGGCGTGAGCCACCAGCGCCCGGCTTTTTCTTTCTTTCTTTTTTTGTCAGTCATGTGGCCTGAACTCTGGGCCTGGGCACTGTCCCTCAGCTCTTCAGCTCAAGGCGAGATCTCTACCACTTGAGCCACAGAGCCACTTTCAGTTTTCTGGTGGTTTATTGGCGATAAGAGTCTCACAGACTTTCCTGCCTGGGCTGGCTTTGAACCGTGATCCTCAAATCCCAGCCTCCTGAGTAGCTAGGATTATAGCCAATAGCCACCGTCATCCGGACTGATGTTCTTATGATGGAAAATATACTAGTAGAACTGGGGTAGGTATGATTTGGTGGTGGACAGCTTTCATAGCCTTTGTGAGGCCATTAGATTTGAACCCCACCAACACCAACACGTAGAAGAATAGTATTTGATTTGATTAGAACATTTATTATCTCAAGTTAACATCCTTTTCAACCAAATGCTCTCTCAATTCATCCAGCCAGACCCTACTATCACAAAACAGTACCTTGCTTGACACAAAAGAAGAAAAACTAAGTTGTAGGTCATACTCCTCAAAGTTCTTTTGTTCTAAAAATCTGAAACGAATGGTGTCTTTGCTATTAAATTCCTCAATACACTTTTCCCCTCTGGCTTCCAGACCTTGTTGTAGCAAGGCAACTGTAGACAACTTTCTCTACTTGAAAATCCCTTCTTCCCCACAGCTCAATCATTGGTGTCTTTTTTCTTTCTCTCTCTCTCCTTTTTTTTTTTTTTTGGTTCAGTCGTGGGCCTGAACTCTGGGCCTGAGTGCTGTCCCTCAGCTCTTCAGCTCAAGGCTAGCGTTCTACCACTTGAGCCACAGCGCCACTTCTGGCTTTTTTCTTTTTGCTTATGTGGTGCTGAGGAATCGAACCCAG